CATGTTCTTATCATATTGCATGTAAAGGATTCCAATAAAGGATTTCATCCACCACATTGCTGTGTGCGGCCAACCATTCTGTTTTTCCATTGCATCTGTGATCACGGATCGGGCCAGCACATGCGTGTCTGTGGAGGGGTTACGCAGATTCGGCACTCACCTGGAGCAGATCTTTTGCTATACCTTCACTGAATATGTCCTCCATCTTCTGGTTCACGCCGTAGTTGCTCTGAAATAGCTGATTCATTTTCAAATCAATCCGGGAATTCTCTTTGGTTTCCTCTTTGTAAGACCGGTGGCTGCTATGCTTCCTATTCCCGCCAGCCTCCGGTCTTGGCACATCCCTTCTGTAGTTCTTTCTCCAGGAAGCAGTGATGTCATTCAGCCCCACTTGCAGTGGTAGGCGGGCCAAGACTCTCAGACACATTCAACAGGTACATGCCTAGTGTACTCACCCACATTCACTACAATTCCCTGTGGTTGATGGGAACTGTAGTTTCCTTTTACTGCAGAGAGACAGGAGAGGATGTGATGTCATCCCGACTGTTACACCTCCTCCTTGGCAGAGCAGATGATGTTATCTCACGAATTACAGAGATGAGGTCATGAGAATTCAATTAGACTTTTCCCTCCTAAATGGAAAGGATTTTCAACATTTTTACTTGACTGTTTTGTGTAATAATGGGTGATTTTTTTTGCCTATCTCGGAGTTCTTCTTTAACTACTCACCTAAAGGGCACTTATACCCCCTTCCTGCCCAGGCCAATTTTCAGCTTTCAGCGCTGTTGCACTTTGAATGACAATTGCGCGGTCATGCAACACTGTACCCATATGAAATTTGTATCATTTTTTGAGACAGATAGAGCTTTATTTTGGTGGTATTTAATCACCTCTGGGATTTTTATTTTTTGCTAAACTAACCAAAAACCACTGAAAATTTTGAAAAAAAAAATATTTTTTCTTAGTTTTTGTTATAAAATGTTGTAAATAAGTGATTTTTCTCCTTCACTGATGTGCGCTAATGAGGCTGCAGTGATGGGCACTGATAGGTGGCACTGATGGACACTGATCAGGAGGCACTGGTAGGTGGCACTGATGGGCATTGACAGGCATCACTGATGGGCACTGAAAGGCAGCACTCATATACTGTATGGCACTGATAGGCGGCACTGATAGGTGGCACTGATAGGCGGCACTGACTGGCACTGATAGGCGGCACTGACTGGCACTGATAGGCGGCACTGCGACTGGCACTGTGGCATTGCCTAGCACTGTTAGGCAGCACTGATAGGCGGCACTGACTGGCACTGATAGGCGGCACTGATTGGCAGCACTGACTGGCACTAAATTGTGCTAAAACAGCGTTTTGGGATGTTTTTTGACCGAAAAAAAAAAATTTTTGTCAAAAAAACACTAAAAACGCAAACACGCAAAAACGTCGGTAAACATGGCAAAACGCCGCTAAATGCTAATGCAAAAATGCAAAAAAAAAAGCTGAAAAACTCACATTTTTAACGTGACCTTATCAATATCATAATTTTTTCCCAGGGATTCTTACAGTATTATGGGGAGTTTTTCACAAATTTTCCAACATGCCCGATCACCGAAAAGGGGAGGAACCACAAAAATCGGCCGGTGCCATTGACCCCACTAACAGAGCGAAAATCAGCCGATTATTCTTAGGTCCGATTTTTGGTTGAAAAATCGGTCGAATTTCAACCCATGTATGGCCGGCCTTAGAGCACTGGGATTGCAGGCTCAATCTCCAGTAGAAACGTGTTTTTTTTTTTTTTCGTCAAGATTTGCTGAAGAGTTGTTTTTCCTTCATTTTCTTTCTTTTGGACTTTCACGTTTAAGTTTCCATTATGAGGTTTTGGATTTTTTTGTTGTGGTTTATTGTTTTTGGAGAAGCACAACACTACATACTAGTTTTATAAAAAAAAAATAAATGCAGCTCAACAGTGTGACTTTACCGCCCCCCAACTGCAAGTGGAAATGAGGCCTAATGAATCCGTGTTGGGAATACATGCAAAATAATGGACGTTTCCGACATGCACAGAAATGCACTGCTTTTTGGCAGATGCACAGGGATGTTATTAACCACTTCCCCTCCAGCCCATGTATATAAATGGCCGGAAGGGAGCAGTGCAGGGGCGGGTTTGCCATTCATAAATGGCGCCCACCATTTTAGCCTGTGCGTGCTCCCTCCAGACACAGCGGAACACCAATCGCGGTACGGGACCTCTATGCGAGGTCCCGATCACGTGATCACTGATTGGCCAATCAGTGATCACATGAATAGTAGTAAGCAAGATGTCACTTCCTGACATCATTGCTTACTACGTGTGAAATCTGAATGATCACAGAGGTCACATGGTACAGGGCTATTCACAACAGCCTTGTACCATGTGACAAGCTGTGACCAATCACAGCTCACACAGTATTTCTCAATGGCTGCAAGAATGCAGCCAAAGAGAAGGAGAAACGATTGCTTTTACAGCCTTTATGGGTGTAAAAGCAATCAGTGTAAAAAAAAAAAAAAAAAAAATCTTCATCACCCCCCACAAGTAGTACAGTGTCACTATGGTGACACTGTACTGCGAGGGTGACAGTATGTAGAAAAAAAAACCCCATAAATAATAATATAAAAAAATTAAATAAAAATGTAAAAACATTTTTTTTCGAAAAAATTATAATTTTTGGTTATAAACTAATTCGGATTAATTTTTTTTTTACTAAAAAGATAACTGAATAAATTATGGGCAAGATTTATGAAAAAAAAGATTATTTCTTTGCAAAGTTTTATAAGAAAGACAAGTTTTTTTTCAAAATTTTGGATTTTTTTCATTTATAAGTAGCAAAAAAAAAAAAAAAAAAAAAAATCCCAGCGGTGAATAAATACCACCAAAATAAAGTTTGATCTGTCTCAAAAAATGCTAAAAAAATCATATGGGTACAGTGTTGCATGACCGCGCAATTGTCATTCAAAGTGTGATAGCGCTGAAAGCTGAAAATTGGCCTAGAAAGTGTCCAGACTAGAAGGGGGGTGAAAGTGTCCGGACTGGAAGGGGGTGAAAGTGTCCGGACTGGAAGGGGGGGTGAAAGTGTCCGGACTGGAAGGGGGTGAAAGTGTCCGGACTGTAAGGGGGAGAAAGTGTCCGGACTGGAAGGGGGGGAAAGTGTCCGGACTGGAAGGGGGGGAAAGTGTCCGGACAGGAAGGGGGGGAAAGTGTCCGGACTGGAAGGGGGTGAAAGTGTCCGGACTGGAAGGGGGAGAAAGTGTCCGGACTGGAAGGGGGTGAAAGTGTCCGGACTGGAAGGGGGGGGGGGGAAAGTGTCCGGACTGGAAAGTGTCCGGACTGGGGGGTGAAAGTGTCCGGACTGGAAGGGGGGAAAGTGTCCGGACTGGAAGGGGGTGAAAGTGTCCGGACTGGAAGGGGGTGAAAGTGTCCGGACTGGAAGGGGGGGAAAGTGTCCGGAGGGGGGGAGAAAGTGTCCGGACTGGAAGGGGGTGAAAGTGTCCGGACTGGAAGGGGGGGAAAGTGTCCGGACTGGAAGGGGGGGAAAGTGTCCGGACTGGAAGGGGGTGAAAGTGTCCGGACTGGAAGGGGGGAAAGTGTCCGGACTGGAAGGGGGTGAAAGTGTCCGGACTGGAAGTGGTTAATTATTAATGGCACCCCCTACACATCAGCAAACCACGCGTGATCTTGCGCACACCAAACGGCATGGTGTTGTAACAATTTTTGGTTCAGTGCAGCGCAATTTTACAAAAGGGTCTCAGACAGGGGCGGACTGACAACTCATGGGGCCCCCCAGCAATAGGAAATCATGGGGCCTCCGTGTCCTTGTACACACTCAAACTACACCCAAAAAAGCCTATGAAAGGTACCAGGGGCATCTCATGGGCCCCCCTACTGACCCCGGGCCCTCGGGCAGTGCCTAAATGGTCAGTCCGCCCCTGGTCTCAGACTTCTTTCCCCACCTTTCTCACAGGTAGGGCAACCTATGGAAATGAATGGGCTGCACCACATTAGTGTGAACCAAGCCTAAGGGCTCTTTCACATGGGTGGCTGAGGGCCAGCGCTTCCCGGCCACTCGCCTGAACCCTAACATTACACCAGACAGGGCTGTACACATGCCATGGACATTTTAACTCAGACATCACCTGTCAGACTCGCCCATGACGTCAGCGGGTTCCAGTGCAATTTCTGTAATACAAAATCCTCCTTTGTATTTAAATTAAAAAAAGAACAGACATATAGGAGGTGGCAGGATCACCTCCTAAACACCCACTAGCCACGGCTATACTGCCCTCTGAAGAGCGATCCATAGTGGATCGCATTTCAGAGGGCAGTAAGCACTGCCTCCAATATTAAAAAGCCTTAAAGTGTTACTAAACCCTGCATTCACTATATCTGGTCTCCCCGGACCCTGCATTCACTATATCTGCTCTCCCCGGACCCTGCATTCACTATATCTGCTCTCCCCGGACCCTGCATTCACTATATCCGGTCTTCCCGGACCCTGCATTCACTATATCTGGTCTCCCCGGACCCTGCATTCACTATATCTGGTCTCCCCGGACCCTGCATTCACTATATCTGGTCTCCCCGGACCCTGCATTCACTATATCTGCTCTCCCCGACCCTGCATTCACTATATCTGCTCTCCCCGGACCCTGCATTCCCTATATCTGCTCTCCCCGGACCCTGCATTCACTATATCTGGCTCTCCCCGGACCCTGCATTCACTATATCTGGTCTCCTCGGACCCTGCATTCACTATATCTGCTCTCCCCGGACCCCGCATTCACTATATCTGCTCTCCCCGGACCCTGCATTCACTATATCCGTCTCCCCGGACCCTGCATTCACTATATCTGCTCTCCCCGGACCCTTTACTATATCTGGTCTCCCCGGACCCTGCATTCCTATATCTGCTCTCCCCGGGCCCTGCATTGCTATATCTGCTCTCCCCGGACCCCGCATTCACTATATCTGCTCTCCCCGGACCCTGCATTCCCTATATCTGCTCTCCCCGGACCCCGCATTCACTATATCCGGTCTCCCCGGTCCCGCATTCACTATATCCGCTCTCCCCGGACCCTACATTCACTATATCCGCTCTCCCCGGACCCTGCATTCACTATATCCGCCGTCTCCCCGGACCCTGCATTCACTATATCCGGTCTCCCGGACCCTGCATTCACTATATCCGCTCTCCCCGGACCCTGCATTCACTATATCTGGTCTCCCCGGACCCTGCATTCACTATATCTGGTCTCCCCGGATCCTGCATTCACTATATCCACTCTCTCCCCGGACCCTGCATTCACTATATCCTCTCTCCCCGGACCCCGCATTCACTATATCCGCTCTCCCCGGACCCCGCATTCACTATATTCGCTCTCTCCCCGGACCCCGCATTCACTATATTCGCTCTCCCCGGACCCTGCATTCACTATATCACCGCTCTCCCCGGACCCTGCATTCACTATATCCGCTCTCCCCGGATCCTGCATTCACTATATCCGGTCTGCCTGGACTCTGCATTCACTATATTTGGTCTCCCCGGACCCTGCATTCACTATATCCGCTCTCCCCGGACCCTGCATTCACTAGATTTGGTCTCCCCGGACCTTGCATTCATTATATCTGGTCTCCCCGGGCCCTGCATTCACTATATCCGCTCTCCCGGACCCTGCATTCATTATATCTGGTCTCCCACAGTACACACAACATGGAAATGCAATTATTTTAGAAAATATAAACTGCTAAATACCTTTTCTCATTAGCAGTTAGTGCAGTCTTGCGACTTCTATCAGTGTCCAGCTGAGTGCTAGCTAAAGCTTGTAGGAGGAGTTTTCATTCTGCTCTAGGAGGATGCAGAACCCCTGACCTCTGTCTGGACAGTGCTGATTGGCCCTGTGCTGATCACATGCACTTTCCCAAGAAAAAAAAAAAAAAACCTCTCCAGCAATACACACCAAACTGAGCATGTGCAAAGTGACTCCACCTGATATTTCAGGAAATAAGAGGGGGACACTGGAAGAAGGGGAGGATCAGAGAGGACAGGATCAAACAGCCTTTTTACACAATGCAGAGGATTAACCCCTTAGGTCCCACAGTGAGTATAACAAGCATGCTTTACTGCATATACAGACTGATTGTACTGTTGTGGGTTTAGTAACACTTTAAGGTCTCATTTACTCAAACTTTGCTCTGTGAAGTGCGATCTATCTGCTGAAAGGGGAATAACAGTTCAAATTAGCACAACACAATAGCCTGGATCAGGGGCAGACTGACAACTCATGGGGCCCCCGAGCTATAGGGGATCATGGGGCCCCTGTGTCCTTGCCCAAACTCAAAAAAGCCTATGAAAAAAAGTACCAGGGGCATCTCATGGGGCCCCCTACTGACCCCGGGCCTTCAGGCAGTGCCCGAGTTTCCAAATGGTCAGTCCGCCCCTGGTCTGGATGGGTCCTAATGGCAGATTTGTACATCATGGCAGGACTACACACTGGGTGACCATTGCAGGATGATTTGGGAAGGCTGGGGAGGGGGTTGGGTTGTCAGGAGGGGAATTAGAGGTTAGTTGGTGTCAGGTGAGTTCCTGACCTCCTATATATGTGGAGGGTGGAGGGGAACTCAATGTATCCTTTTGGTTTCTTTGTCTTGCTGGTGTGGCAAGATGCAGTGTACACTCCTCATTGGGTAAGTAGGCTTGTTGTATGCTAGTAGCATTTCATTGACCTTTTTTTGTGGGGTTTTTTTTCTCAAAGAAGTCTATTCTTTTGTAAATCTTAAATTTTATATAATTTTGTTTGTTTGAGATGTTACTAGTGTTGATTTGAGCTTTAAGGATCTCTTATTGAGTAATAAAGGATCACATTTAGGCAGTCAGAGGGGTGAGTGTTGCTGGTGAACTGCTTGTTGGTGGTTTGTTATAATGGCCAGTGGAAGGGTTGCTGAAAGGCTGCCTGACTTGTCCCTATGGACTTGCTGTCCTCCTTGCTCATCATGGGGCCTTATCAGTTGCCCTTTCTGCTTCATTTTGGTTAGAGGGTGTGATCCCATAGGGCCAGAGGGGGGAGTGAGCTTGCTATAGGGGCTGGGGGTTCACTTTTTTTTTTTCTTCTCTAGCAGTAGAATTGCCCACCTATCAGCTTTAGGGTCACCATACTCATTACTCAAATTCTACAAGATTTGACTTGCCAAACCTATATAATATAAGCACCCCCCTAAGCTATCCAATCTGGCTCAATCCTAGTTTGTAGTTTCCTTCATCTACCATCAGGTTGGGGGGTGTTTGGTCTGTTTTAGGCTGGACTGACCTTTTTCAGTATTGTATGAACAGGCCCATATAACTCCCATTTTTTTTTTTTTTTGTTTCCTCTATACTAAACTGTAGCCCATGGCTGTGAACCAGCCCCATAGGAAGGGATGAGTGCTACTTGTCCATTCTGATGCAGTAAAAAATGTATGTATGGGCTGTTATCACAAAACCATCTGCAGTAATGGCTAACCTGATGCCAAGCATTCCTGTAATGGGATGCATTGAGAACATTGGGCTTCCTTGCCCCACTGAGGGATCAACACAGTTCACTTTTATTTTACATAGCTGTCTGTGATGCTGCACAGTCCCACTTCTCCTTCTGTATGTTGGATGGAATTCTGACTATGTTGTTCTGTATGTATGGACTCTGCACAGTAGGACTTCTTGTCCTGGATGCTGGGTGTAATTCCCTGTATCTGTCTTTATCCTGTATGTATGGACTCTGCACAGTCCCACTTCTCCTGTCCCAAATGCCAGGTGGAATTCTCAGTATATCCTGTATGTATGGACTCTGCACAGTCCCACTTCTCCTGCCCAGGATGCCGGGTGGAATTCTCAGTATGCTCTGTATGTTTGGACTCTGTAGTCCCACTTCTCCTGTCCCAAATGCCAGGTGGAATTCTCGGTATCTGTCTTTATCCTGTATGTATGGACTCTGCACAGTCCCACTTCTCGTCCCATATGCCGGGTGTAATTCTCTATCTATTCTGTGTATACGGACTCTGCGCATTAATATGTTGGGTAATCATTTTTGGATTTGTTTTTTGTGTTTCTAGAGTTGCAGTGCTCTGCTTGACTCTTCCGCATCTTGTGCATGCTCAGCCTTTACCGGAGAGTCTACCACCTGGTAAGTTGTCATCACTCTAAGAAACCCAAATGGTGTTAACAGCTCAATGTGCATAGTATAGCATTGCTGCCTGATTTTCAAGTGCCTGTCACATTATCTGAAATATGGTGCTGGCATGGCCAAGTTAGTGGGCAAGGGTCTGGTGCTAAGATACCTGTCCTTGTCCACCTATGTAACCAAAGCCTCTAGGTTTGTCCAGGTCTGTGGCTTGGGTAAATGGTGAGAATCGGAGATAAACCTCAGAGTATACTTCCCCCAAACCCCCATATTGCTTCAAAATGGCCAAGGTGATGTCTGGAGAAATCCTGGTGAGAATAGTCAGCATGCCAGCTCTAGGACTGTTTCATTTGTAGTGATGAAGCTGAACCCACAGTTCACATAACATGGGAGTCAAAATTGGATGTGTCCCTCAGTCTGTCACACAGGTGTCTGATCCAAAATTATATACATGCAGCTATTAGTGCTATTTATGAAACTACATTAAAGTGCTACTCCTACCAAAAAAGTGACACAAACTGTGGCAAATCAATGTTTATCTAATGAGAATTATTGTCCCTAATCCTATTGTGTCCACACAATGACTCCACGAAGAACCTGTGTTCCCAAAACCAGTGGTAATCATGTTCCAAAAGTCAAATCCTGTGATCCTCCATGTGAAGTATGATTAGTAACTTGCCAGATCTTTTATGTAGCTTTAAAAAATTGGGCTGACCATCGTTGACTTGTCACACCTGGTGGATAAATGACACCATGTCCTGGAATCAGGAAATAAATATATGCAGAGCAAATGTGGACTTTCTAGGTACATTCTTTGTACCACAAATGTACAAAACCATATATCACAATAACTTGTCTAAAAGATGCAAATTTAAAAACTGTTGTGTTGTACATGGGCTCCAGTGGTCCATGACCAGGTTTGACTGGCCGAGCTGCAGTGATTGTATGCATGTGCACAGGAGGTTCTCGGGTCCTATGTATGTTTACAGTACCTGTAGGTAAAACATAGAAATGTCTTTACTACACTGTTGTAGCTGCTTTCAGGCCTTGAGCTGGCCTGGCTCCTCCCCTGCGAACAGGCTTTCCTAGTAGACTGTGACAGTAGAGATCCTTCTGTCCAGCTTCAGCCTGTAGGTAGACCCACACCCCCCTCCCAGGCTCCACACACCAGCAGATTCCTTCACAATATCTTCCACCAGACTCCCTGTCCCATACTTAAGGACTGTCCTAGCCTCCTGCCTGAGGGGTTGGCCAGGTTCTCTCAAACATACAAATCCAGGCCTCCTCCCCCTCCTTTGCCCCTCTTCTAGAAAGTTCCTCCTGTTTCTATAAGGGTGGGAGGGCTCCAGAAGCCCTGACATAACCTCACTTCCAGGCTTATTCATCGTAGGCTTCTAGCAAGCCTCTAAGGGCTTGTTCACACTTGTCTAATGTCTAACTCTTGCCGAACATCCCTATAGCACTGACAGGCATTTGGGAAGTTTTTGATGCACCCCAAACACCCTATGTGAGTCGTTTGATAGGCATTTGCCAAGCATTAAAACATCATCACAATGCCTATAATAAAGTTTAATTGTATTAACACTCTGAAAAATGCCTGGCAGTTTGAGGAGCGTCACCATGGATGTAAAAGGGAGGCTTCAACTCATGACTTGACATGAGGCATCAATTTTGCCAAGAGGCTTATGCTTCAGTGTGCACAGCACTGTGCTGCCATGTGTAGAATGTTCATAGGAATTTGAGGAGCGTTAAATGCTTCCCAAACTCCTATCTAACACCACACAAGGCTAGTGTGAACTTGGCATAACAGACTAAAAATCCTGCCTGAAGTGGAGGGTGCTACACTTAATAAGATATCACACTCCATTACGACAATCAAGAGGAAATGAAGTGGGTCACATCTGTCTTATAGATGGGATATGATGGCACATACTCAGAAAAGAACTATGGTGCAGTATACTTTTAAAATTTGGGGGGGTGGGAAGATTACAAACAATGCACCCATTTGATTGTGCCTAGGATGGCACAATCACAAAAGCATTGGATGGGATCACATGAAGAATCACTGCTCAGTCTGAGCTTGCTTGTCATCCACGGACTAGAACCAACTTGCTGGAAACGATGCAGGGACCAGAATTGAAAGCCAGACCTCAATGCTTTTCGTGGAATTGCATCCGAAAGCTCTTGGAATGCATGACTTGGTGTTTCAATTCATCAATAGAATCTTCCTCAGGGAGGAAATAACGCAGCAGGAGCCTCTACAAAATGAAACCTAAAATCAGGTTTTCCATAACGTATATACATAAGGTAAGCAAGGCATGATATATAATTCACAACAAATTGTCAATTAAACTGATTCTCCATGGAACTCCCCCAGCAGTGTTGAAATATAGAGGATACTATAGGGATCCTCTGGCAGGTGGAAGCTGGAAGAAAGCAACCAGCAAATGGGGTTGGTTATGTATTTTCAAGGGAGGCTTTTTGTTGGAGATGAAGTAGTTTGCTTGACCATTCAAGTCAAGAATAGCTAAAAAGATGAAGTTCCTCAACTATGGCGCCTTAAAGCCACAACCTTTTGCTTGTAAAAATGTCTTTAAGTGGTTGTATTGGGATACATTTACTTCACAGGAAACTGTATTATACAAGATGCTACTTGGCCCAATGCTGGGCCTGCTTAACTTCCTTCTAGACCTGTACTCCTGGTTTGATGGTTGTGAGGTCTTCTCTTCTAGATGTGTTGAAGACAGAATGTCGTGAAAGGAACTTCTATATCTGGGGAAATAAGACTTTCTTTGAACCACTTGAATGGCAGCTGGAAGCCATAAGTAAGTAGAATTTCATGGTCAAAGAATTTTAATGAGAACCTGAATGCTGGTTTTAATATCTGCTGTTTATCAGACTATACAGGGTCTGCTGATGAAATGGAGGGAAAAAGGGCAGCACAATGTGGCTACACCCGCACCACTGACTTGTATGGGAACTTGGAAGTTCGGATCTCCTTTCTGGGCTGCTGGGTGAAGAATATTGTAGGTGTTACTCTTTGGAATTGGCAATTTCATTGTCTTTTCTCTCACGTTTTGAATTAATATAAATTTCTTTTGCCAGCATGACAAGCAATTTGAGATCTCCGTGCAGATCAGAGTGTTCCGTGATGGGCAGACTGAAGCATATTTGCAGAATATAATCTGTAACCCTAATCGGTCATGGGATGTGAGGGAGATTATCTGTGAAGAAAACTATATGGAGGTAAAGTTGGAGTGCAGTGTTGAGGGGGAACTAATAACTTGGGGTCAAGGCAAACACTGAGTTGATGCCAACAGTCTAAGTTCTTGAAAAGAAGAACTAATCTTCAACTGGCCATGTGATAGGCACTTTTCAGCTGGTTCAAGAAGTGGATAAGTCTTCCAGGTTTTACTCTGTATCTACTATAACTCTTTAGAATTTGATAGCAGTCATGTGGTTCTGTCCATGGCTAGGGTGGAACACCAGCACCTTTTTGTGGTGACACTACAGAATTCCAATTTGCTTCTGTGGATTGTCATTGGCAAGATGGCTTTTGGTAATGCAGATATTGTCAGTATGGTAGCCTTTAGTTTCACAGTAGGAGCATGCATGAAGGGTTGACAGTGTATCACTACCCTAGAAGAGGTAGTGACATTGTTGCATAAAATAGACCAAATGGTTAGAATATTAAGGTTTAAGTGTGTAATTGGCTGCATTTTTGAGTGCACAGAAGGGAAGTGGTGTAGCTTCCCCATTATATAGGTCAGTGGTCTTCAAACTACAGCTTGTGGGCCAGATCCAGTCCACTATTGTACATGGCCTATGGCTAAGGTCATTGGCACTTTCTCACTGTGCACAGATGAGGATTCAGGTCAGCAGAGGCTGGTCTTGGCTGCAGGCTTGTGTAAGAGCAAGCTCTGGGGACCCTGATCGGGGGGGGGGGGGGGGCAGCCTCAGAACAGACTAATATTTGTAAATGTTTTAATTTGACCTGTGATATAGAAAATTCTGAGGCCTTCATACTCTCTGTTGGACTCAAATTTGGTTGCAGGCTCCAAGCTGTCTTGACCTGTGAAAAGTATGTAGGATGCAGGTTGTCCACATGTTGAAGCTAAATTAAGCTTGTCCTATAGTTCTACCTCTTAAGGCAGTTCATATACTTATGACAGGTTTAAGAAGATCAGACTTGGCTGCCTAAAACATGGGTCGGCTCCAGGGTCTTCAAGTTTCGGGCTTTGCATAGTAATGTTAGAAATCCCACTTTGAGGTCCAGATATAAATGAGTTAGAACTTGAGATTTAATCAACTGGTCCTGGGAAAAGTTTTTCTTTTTCCACTGGAGAAAGTGGCTGAGGATTTCTGCTGCCTTTGAGCCTACCCTGGCACATCTGATATTGAATTCAGGTTACCACAGAGAAATATGGAAAAATTAGAAGTTTGGTGTTTGTGGACTTTAAATTGGGACCACAGTAAGCAACTTTAATTGTGCCTCTGGGGTTATAGCTACCAAAATATTTCTCGAGACCTGAAGCTGTGAAACCAAAACTAAAATGTCTGGTTAGGCTTTCTAAGTGGCTCACTGAGAATCCTGTCCCACCTTGAGCAATAAAGTTCAAGGAGTAAAGCATATCAAATGGCATGCACCCCCCCCCACCCTACAAAAAAATGTTCCTAATGATGGATCCACTCACTCCAGGTTTGGAGTTGTCCAAACATAAAGATGCACACTAGGGAATGTTCAATTGGCTAGCATTGCCCCTTGCTGCTGCCAGGAAACCTTAAGGGAGCCCAAGGTGGTTCACTCTAGCAGAAGCTTCATTGGCCCTCACATGGCTTGGTATGACTGCCAACATTTTGCCACACCTTGCATGGTGCTAGACAAATATCAGTGTTCAGGAGCCTTTTGTACAACTTAACCTGGAAAACCTCACACTTTAGACTGTCCAGAGGCTCCTCCTGCCTGTACTGATCACAAACCCTACAAGATATAAATGTTAATGGGAAGAAGGGTGATCTGCACACCAAGGATTGATGAATATAATGTATATTGATCCATAGGACACACAACGACATGAATACAGGACCTGTTAATGCATTTCACAAGATCT